CAGCCACTCGGAGGGTGATCGGGGACCCCCGGCACTTACCTTTATCATGTTGTAGAGAGATTTTTCGTACTTGGTCCTAAATACCTCCCGGATGTCCAGCATGTCGATCTCACTGCGGGACACCATGATGCGGATCAGCGTGTTGTCCCTCGTGCCCAGCCCCTGCAACAGAGGAGCCCCCGCATCAAGCCTGGGGTGGCCAAGCAACTCCGCTCAGCCCATCACCTTTGGGATCTATCAGATTTCTACCCAACCCCGGGTCTGACGGTGGAGGGAAGAGCAGAGACCCCAGGTCACATAGGTCCTGTCTTTGTGGACCTGCGTCAGCCTGCCCTCCAGCAGCCCCCCACGGCAAGGGGACCCCTCCTCTGGCCGGCTCCTTGTGGTGCTGTGGGGGGGACGCCCCAGAGAAGGGGTGATCTACTCACCTTCATGGCCTTGTAGAGCCTTTCAGCAAAATACTCTGCAGTGCTTCTGACACACTTAACTGTGGGGAAATAGAGGCACGGTTAGGGATGCCAGCACCCAGCTTTGCTGGCACTCCAGTCTCTGAGCGCCCATGCCCCTGGGGCACCACAGTCAGCATCCCCACCCACCCTGAAGGAGCCTCCCTGAGCTCCCAAAAACCAGCACAGCTGCAACCCCAATCCACTGGCTCTTGCACTGAGCCCTCCCACCCCGGCAAGGCCAGCGGCGTGTTTTCGCAGCATCCCCGACACAGGGGCTGACTTACCCACAGCCAGCATCAGTTTCTCAAAGTCACCAGAGAGCTCTCCCCGGATGCTCCTCTCAATTGGCTTCCCGGAAATCTTCAGGTACTCATCGAAGACTGCAGGATGAGAGCAAGATGATGCCTGGAGAAGCTGACAAGATACCTTCAAACCCAATCCCAAGCTCACAGGAGATGCTCACCCAGGCGGAGGTGCTGCTTGCTTCGCCGGCCAAGGATGTAGATGAACTGGGCCTCGTCTGTGCCCCATTTCAGCTCGCCAGCTTCCAGCAGGTCCTTGTGGGGTGGGGAAGGTGGTAGAGCCTGAGTCAGGGTCCTGCTCACATGGGGCTCTGCCCAAGCATGGGCACCCTCAGCACCCACTCACCCTTCACAGCCCTAGGTCTGCCTGGTCCCAGTGCCACCATCCCCATCCCAGCCCAGATGCCACCTGCCAAGCCTCACCTTGGCATCCTGCTCCACCAGGTCCTCGCTCACCACGTCGTCCTCCTCCCTGGTGCCCTGCGGGACAGAGACAGGCTCAGCCCTGCTGGGCTCAGGCGCTCACCACCTGTGGACACTGGACAGATGGACATACCTGAAGCAGAACGACGAGCATCTTCTTGAAGTGGCCAGATGTGTCTCCAACGATATCAGCCTCCAAGTCCCTCTCGTAGGCTGGTGGAAGAGGGAGAGGTCAGGGCCTGGAGACCTGGATCCCCTTAACTCTGCCCCTTGTCCTGGCCCGAGGGGTCACAGGGCAGCCCCTGCCCTTCCCCAGCCCTCACCGTCTTTGTAGGCAGCCACCAGGTTGTGGATCTCCTGGTTGGTGCGGGAGGCGAGGATCTCGATGAGGCACTTCTCATCCGTACCGATGCCCTGCGGGCAGAGATGCAGCCCTGTGAGCAGCAGGGCTGGCTGGAACGCCCTCAGAGGGGCCCCAGGGATGCTGCCCACCCCTTACCGCGATGGCATCTTTGATCTCCTTGGCATCGCTATAAGCTGGGGGCCGCATCAGGCTCACGATCAGCCGCTCAAACTTCCCTGTCAGCTCGTACTTGAGGTCTGCGATGAGGTCCTGGTGGAGTGGGAGAAAGGGGCTGGGGGACCCTTTGCTCCACAGTACCTCTGAGCGAGGCCATGGCACGGTGGAGGCACGGGCTGGGCAGCGTTTCTGCTGTTACCTTCCCGTAGAGGGACTTGTAGGCTTGGCAGATCTCCACTCGCTGCTTGTTGCTTCTAGATGTGATGAGGTCAAGGATGGCCTCCTTGTCGCTGCCTGTGGGGAGAGCCACGCAGTGGTATTCAGCTACTGTGGCTGGGTCTCATCCCCCACGGTGGGGCTCGTCATAGCCATCCTGCTGTGCCCAAAGCTGCTTCTGACTCAGGGCCGGGAGGAGAAGCAGAGCAGAGCTGGCTCCAGGGAGGAAGGGGGAGCCAGGAGAGGTCCTGGCATGCTGCTAAAGCAGACAGGCAGCTGAAAGGGGAGGTGATGCAGGATGCCCAACCGTGCAAGGGTCAACTGAAGGAATAGGGGACATCAGGGTGGCCCCAAGGTGACAGTCTGGAGGAGCATCCATACCAAATCCCTTCATGGCATTGTACAAGGCCTCCGCATCCTGGCTGGCGTCAAAGCCTGGGAAATCCTTCACCGACCCCCTGTAGACCTAGGGGAAAGGAGGGAGAAGGTGAAAGGGAATGAGCAGCCCCCAGCTCCCGGCAGGACAGGGGTAAGGAAAAGTTGAAGCTGAGCAGGATTGGGGCAAGACCCACTCCTGCTGGGGGCTGCCCAAAGGCAAAGCTCAGCCTCAAACATAAGCGCTTGTTCTTCTCATTTTTTTTCTGTTCCCGTTTGCTCTCCTCACTATGTAACTTGGTTGCGTGCCAGGTCACTGGAGTACACGGCCTTCCCTCTCGTATCTCACTGGCATTGCTGTTTGCTGCTTGTGCCCTGCGTTTAAGCTGGATACAATCCTCCCCACCACGGCAGCAACAGCTGAGGGTTTGAAGGCAGGTTCCTCCAGCTTTTTTGGTTCCCAGCACCATCTTGGGGGGGAGTGGTGGGAAAAGGGAAGAACCTGTGGGAGGGTTGGACACCCTGAATGCAGGAGAAGGCACCCAAGGACCAGGGCAATCCCCCTGCAACACAGCTGGGCCAAAGGGAGCTACGGAGCATGGATTGGGAACGATAAAGCCATTTTCCACCGCCTGTTGCAAGCAGGGAAACCCTCTGGATGCTGAGAATGCCCAAGCTCTGCGTGGCCTCCAAGCAAGGAGACAAATTTACAGGCACAAAATCATCATGGGCTCCTAAGTGGAAAGCACTGAGAAGCACTAGAGCTGCCAACAGCTTGTCTTGCCCCCCCAAGCATGAGGGCTCCGAGGGGTCAGAGCAGAGACCCCAGACACAGAGACTTTCTTGGGAGCCTGAGAAACCCTGGGGGTTGGCACGACCCTCTTCTGTCTGCTCCTCTGCACCTCTGGGCTGCACAGTGGGGAGCCCAGGAATGATACCCCCAAACAGAGACCTCAGGAGCAGGGACCAGGCTTCCCCTCCCTGGGTCAGCCTTGCCCGGGGGAGTTTACCCCGGGGCAGTCCAGGGTTGGACTCTGAACAAGATCAGCACAAATCCTGGCTGGAAGCAGATGTGAAACCAGCCCAGCCTCACATAAGGAACTGGGACCCAGAGGCAGAGAGTGGGAAGAACTGGACAGCAGTGTTTCCTTAGTGGTCTCGCTGGGGAGCAGGAGGGCTGGGGTCAGGCTGAGCTGGGGCTCCCAGCTGTGTCAGCACCCTGGGAAACCCAGCATCCATCCTCAAGTCCGCTCGTACCACATGTTGACCGGGTACGTACCCGCCCCCCCCCCCCCCAGCATCGCTCATGCAGGAACTGCTGCAGGGCTTAAGATCCCCAGGAGCTGTACAAAGGCCCAGAGCTGTTGCCACTGTGGGCATCTAAAGCCAACGTGTCCCCAGCGATGGGCACCATGCAGGCAGCACCAGTGTCCCTGGCCAGCAAATGCCTCCAGGAATGAACCTGAGGGGATGGACACAGAGCAGCCCCGTGCCCACCGCTCCCCTGGGTTCCGTCCCAACGCTGCGGCACAACAGCTCTGCTGCACATCTCGCCCAGCACCTTTAGAAAGAAACTGGCCCCCCTTTTTCCAGAGAGAAACCAGTCCAGGCTGGGCACATCCCACAGGCCCTCTCTGGAGGAGCTGCTGGCACTGGTGTCCCACAGCGTGGGGACCAGGTTGGGCGAGAGGCGACGCTGCCCTTCCAGGGCACAGGGACAGATCGTATTGCAGGTGATTCAGCGGGAGAGCTGGATTTAGCCCTGCTTCCCGGCAGCTCCCAGACCCTCCTGGTTTGGTGCAAGCTGCTGCCCACGCACATGCCTTGTGGAGACATAAATAAGGAGTTGCAGGGCAAGGGAGGTGCCCAGAGGCAGCAGGAAGGGATGAAGGTGGCTGGAAGGTGCTGGGGTCGCGTGGGTGGTGATGGGCAGACAAGACATTGGTCCTGCTTAAATGGAGAGGAGCAGCAGGACTCTGTTCACGCCTGCTGAGCCATCGAAGCACGAGCTGCCTGCCCTGCTGCAGTGCTGCCATGGTGGAGGCAAGGGAAACTGAGGCAGAAGCTCAGTGCTGTGCATGGCCCCACGCTCCTTGCACTCTTGTGGGAACGAGCCCCGGGGAGGCACAGAAACCCGCGGGAGGGAAACAGCATCCTGCCCGCTACGCCCTCCTC